CTGGGTGTGAGGTGAGGGCTGTGCCCTGGGTGTGAGGTGAGGCGGCCGTGCGCTGGGGGCACTTTCATTCCTAGAGCTACTTTTCCATTGTAAGCATCTCCGGGAGAGGCTGAGAGGCCCCAGTGAGCACAGGTAACGAGGACAAGATTCAGGACAAGGGTCTCAGCAAAGTCCCCATGATGGAGCCTCCTCTTCCAAGATGTCATTATAAGAATCCACAGGTGGCAGGGCGGAGCCCAGAGTGGCAGGGCCTTGGAGCGGCGCCCAGCTCCCTCCTGCTGCGTGGCCACGTCAGTCACCCAACCACGGCCTCACCTGTGTGCTGTGCAAGCGCACGTAATGGGGGGTATGAGCTCTGTGACCCCAGGAACGTCAGTGTTTGCTCCCCAGAGGAGAACCTGAGGCCAGAGGGGCTGGGAGACTCAGGGGCCACACAGGTGGCAGGGTAGCTCACCTGGCTCCTCCCCCACCCAGGGCCCCTGGGTGACCGGCCGCAGGACCCCGAGGACTCACCCAGCACACGGATCACCCTGGAGTCCTGCAGCACCGAGCTCCCGCAGGCGGCCTGTACTGTCACGCGCACATCCCCTTGGTCTGCAAACCGGGTGGTCACCGAGTTCTCCAGGGACAGCAGTGGCTGCGGGGCACAGGTGGTTAAGGGCCCCGCCAGGGCAGGGCGGTGGGCAGTGGGGTGCCTGGGGGATGCCCCCAAAGCTACGCTGGTGGGACGCTAAAACGGGAGCTCACTCTGTGGCCGCAGTGTGGTGCAGGTCTCCCAGTGCCCTCCCACCCAGACAGCTGCCCACGAGCCCCTCTTGTGTGGCATTTCAGGGCCTGATGAGGCTGCCAGGCCGAGGCCTCTGCGCCCCTGTGGCCGCAGGTGTGAACATGGTGCCTTCATCCTGGTGCCCAGTGCCCAGTTCGGGCCAGGCAGTGAGGGTGGGGACACTCATCACGGTGGGGACAATGTTACCTGGGAGGCAGGAAGACCCCCCCAGCAGATGGGAGGCAGGGGCTGTGGCACCAAGGGACGCCCCCAAAGTGCTCAGCTGGAAGTCGTTGGGCTGACACACAAACCCAGAGCCCAGGCCCCTTGCTCGGCCCTCCCCACTCTGAGGAAACACAGGCAAAGTCTACAGCCCTGCCCTTCCCCATCCAGGCCCTCTGTGGCTGCTGGGCTGGGGTCTGCCTGGGGGTCTGCTGAGCGAGGGGAGGAGGCCCCTCTGGGTCTTGAGGCCCTAAAGCCTGAGGATGGGCAGCCCTGCTCTGCGAAGCCAGAGCTGCACAGACTTCTGATTCAGGCACTCTCCTGCTCAAGAACTGCCCATGGCTCCCTACTGCTTACAGCGTACAAGCCTCTGAGCAAGGCCTTGAGACCTGGCCCAGCCCAGTGACCCCTCCTCCATGAAGCCTTCCCTGACCCCCACTGCAGATGGCCTGCCCTTCCCTGGAGCTCCCACACACCTCTCCTGTCCCTCCTGGGACACCTGTCCTAACAGAGGTCAAGTCTCCAGTTCACATCCCCAGGAAAAGGGGGGGTCTGTGTCCACTGCCCTCAGAGCAGACCCCAAGTGGACGCTCGCGGTAGCTGCACGAAGGATGGGTGGGGTGTGCCTGCCCCAATAGCCCAGGACAGCCCCGGGCACTGCGTTCCTTGTGTGCCTGGGCGGTGCCCTGTCCCCACCCTCCACCCCGGACGTGAGCAGCGGGAGGGAAGGCCGTGAGGGTTCTGGGCCAGCGCACCTGCAGGCTGTGGCCGATCCACCAGTAGAAGACGGTGAGGTTCGGGTTCAGGGGCAGCAGCACAGCCGTGAGGTTCACTTCCTGGTTGACACCAATGACAGGAACCACTTCTAGGTAGAGGGCCTGCAGGGGGGCTGCAGGGTTCAGAGAAAGGCTGGACGTTAGAGGGCAGCAGGACACGGGACATTTCAGAGGCTTCTTGGTCACTGTTCCCACCAACTCCACTACCACCACCACCATCGTGACTACCACCACTGTTTCCACCATCACCAACTACACCTCCATCACTACCAATATCTCCATCACCACCTGTACCACCATCACCACAACCACGACCATCAGCTACACCAGCATCACTACCATCACTGCCACTGCCATCACCATCACTGCCACCACCACCACCTCCACCATCACCCACTATACCACCATGACTACCAACGTCATCATTACCAACTACACCACCATCACCATCACCAACTACACCTCCATCACTACCAACGTCACCATCATCACATCATCACCACTTATACCACCTCCACCACCATCACTATCATCACCGCCACCACCACCATCACTACCATCACCAACTACACCATCATCATCACCTCTACCACCTTCATCATCACCATCACTGCCACCACCACCGTCACTACCACCACCACCCTTTCCACCATCACCATCATCACCACCACCATCAACTACACCACCATCACTACCATCACTGCCATCACCATCACTGCCACCACCATCACTTCCGCCATCACCATCACCAACAACACCGTGACTACCATCACCATCATCACCACCACCATCACCAACTATACCACCAACACTATTGTTACTGCCACGACCACCACCTCTACAACTACCATCATTATCACCTCCTGTACCATGACCATTATCATCACTACCACCCCTACCACCACCTATATCAACACCACCCCCAACCCCACCCCCACCGCTACCTGGAAACCACTGCCACCACTACCATCACCATCAGCACTATCACCACCTATACCACCACCACCACCACCATCATCACCACAATCACCATGACCTCCACCACCATCACCATCAGCACTATCACCATCACCACCAAGGAGGCACTGCTACCATCACACCCCCATCATTATCATCACCACCACCACCATCACCAACTCTAGAACCACTGCCATAACCACCACCATCTCTACCACCTACACCACCACCACCATCGCCAACACTGCCATCACTTTGACCTTTACCACACCACCACCATCTCTACCACCTACACCATTACCACCATTGCCAACACTGCCATCACTTTGACCTTTACCACACCACCACCATCTCTACCACCCACACCACCACCACCATCGCCAACACTGCCATCACTTTGATCTTTACCACACCACCACCATCTCTACCACCTACACCATCACCACCATCGCCAACACTGCCATCACTTTGACCTTTACCACACCACCACCATCTCTACCACCTACACCATCACCACCATTGCCAACACTACCATAACTTTGGTCTTTACCATAACCATTAATACCACCACTGTCACCACTCTCCCACTATCACCACCAACCCTACTATTCCCAGGTCTCCAGGGGTGTGGATTTGGACCCCAGCCGGCCTGACTCCTGCCCTTGGTCCCCATCATGAGCACCCTGGATTATAGCAGCCCTGAAGGACTCCCTGTGCTTTCCCCAGGGATCACGTCCTCTCTGTCCTAGGCCGTGTCCTAGGGTGCGCAGCCTTCAAGGGTGGCAGACTTACAGTTAACCTGGACAAAGAGCACGGCCTCATCCTGCCCTGCCATGTTCTCTGCCTGGACAGACACCCGGTAGATGCCAGGACTCTCGTAACGGTGCCGGACAGGCTCCCCAGTCAGCGTGAGGTTCACGTACATGGCCTTGAAGCCGTCCCCGAGGTCCACCTGGTACTTGGTGGTCAGGACGTCGCCCTGCAGGGAAACGCCATGAGGCCACTTAGGAGTGACCATAATGCAGGTGCCACTGAGAGGTCAGGGGTGAGCTCACTTACTCATTCATTCACTCATCCATTCACTCCTCAACTCACTCATCCATCCACTCACTCACTCATCCACTTACTGATTCATTCACTCATTCACTCACTCATCCACTCACCCAGCCACCCACCCATTCATTCATTAATTCACTCACTCATCCATCACTCACTCACCTACTCATTCACTCACTCATCTACTCACTCGCTTACTCACCCATTTGTCACTCATTCACTCACCTACCCACTCACTCACTCACTCATATACTCACTCTCCCACCTACCCACCCATTCACTCACTCACTTTCATTCACTTACTCATTTATTCATTCACTCATTTATCTATCACTCATTCCTTTCCTCAAAATGAGTGGGCTCTGGGGACCCACAGGGACCCAGATGTGGTTCTTCCCTCAAGCCTTCCAGCCTGGCATCAGCCACAGGCAAGTAAGTGGCGCTCTGGCTGAGGAAGGCAGGCATGGCCAGAGAGCTCTAGAGAGCCCAGAGGGTTAAGCGAGGAGCTGGGGCCAGGTTTACATTTGAGAACAATCGCTCTGCTGCAGAGGGAGCTGGGTTGGTCCCAAGGGTGCCGTCGGAGAGGGCAGTGCGGGGTGGAGGCCCAGGGAGACCCACTGCGGCCTTAGCAGGTGGGAGCCCAGGAGGGTGAGGAGGGGCCTCTGGCCCTGTGGAGGATTCTCGTAACAGACCAGAAACAAACATCTGACGCCTCTCCAGACCATCGACCAGAACATAAAGACAGCTTTATGCTTCCCTCCTGTGATGCCAGGGCTCCTGAATGCCTCTCCATCTCAGGGCACACAGTGCAGAGGGCCTCCACCCCCCAGCCTCAGCCCCCACACTCAGTCACCCACAAAAGCTGCTCCATCTCCCTGTGTGCTTCTCTGCCGCCAGCATTATCCTTCAAATAGCCATGTTTTCCTAAGAGTTGGGGAAATTGAGAGAAGGAAACAATAATTTTTCCAAATTTATAGCAAGAGAGAGAGCTCATATTCAATCTGTTTCTCTCCCTCTCCCTGCCCCCTCCCTCTCTAACTCTCCTTCTCTCACCCCCCCCCTCTCTCTCTCCCTCCCCTTCTCTCTCTGACTCTCC